AGTCTGGGCCAGGCAGAACTTATAGGCTTCCATTCTGGTTAAGTCTTTTCCCCTTGCCTTCAGACTAGGGGTGCAGACTGAAGGGGCAGTGGCCCTTCTTATGGTAGGTTATGGGAACACAAGGGGACAGGCTAAACCATAAAATGTGGTTTAAAACTCCTGCTCATGTCATCTCCACTGACACTTCATTTCTCAAGTCACATGGCCAAGTCCAACAAAAATGTTTCAGGGAAGTTCACTCTGCCCACAATGGAAGGCACTACATAATTATACGGCAAAGGGTATAGATACATAATTATATTACAAGAAGGTGAAGATTTTGAATAGCAATTTGATCTACAGAGTGTATATTATAAGCACAAGAAGTAGCTGAACCTCACATGAACACAATATGAATGGACATGGGTATAGGAATGACTAAAAATTGTTAGGGGATGTCAAAGATGTTAGACGACTGGGGAAGATTTGTGAATTGTGGCAATTTACTGATTCTTGGTTTATTTTAATTCAAAATTGAAGTCCCCCTAGCAAGACTAAGAAAAAAGGAGAGATAACACAAATTTCCATATATATTATTCTAGATCATGCAGATACTAAAGGGTTAATAAAGGACTATTGTGAACAACTTTATGCCAGAAAGTTTAAGCTTGGGTTAAATGGACAAGTTTCTTGAAAAATACAACTTATCAAAACTGAGGCAAGAAGAAATGGAAAATTTGAATAGCCCTATATACCTGATATCCACATAGATTTATTATTGTCTTTACATCATACTGTCACCCCTTCTCTTCTGTCAGAGATTTTTTTTATATCAGGTGAACCACTCTGTTGTTGAATTTAGGTTTGGACATCCTGATTTAGGACATTAAATCCTTCTCATGACACTATCCAAGGAATCTGCCATTCAGTGGGTTTGCTGTGTCTTCACATAACTCTCTGGTTCATTTGAATAGTAACTGGAGGATTCTGTATGTACATTTTCCTTTCCTTCCACGTTCCTTTTCTAGTTTCTATAAGTGACAAGTTTTAGTTTGTGCCATTTGTTTGTATAAAGCTACTGGTCCCTGTTTTCCAGGTGTTTGGATGTTGGTGCCCTTTAAAATGATCTAAATCATCCCCCCTACCCCCCACCCCCCACCCCGATTTTTCTCAGTTTTTTTGTTGTTGTTCCCTAGTTTTCTGAATTGCTTTCTTGATTCTTCTAAAATACCCAGAATACTTTAATACTGTAAGATAGGCCAAAGTTTAGGGAAACTCATGTCTTTTTAAATCTTTTTCTTTAGCAGAAAAACTAGTTTGTACTTAAAACAGATAAGGAAAAGAAACAAGATGCCTATCTCGCAGATCTCTGTAACATTTATCTTCACAGCGTGGAACACTGGGTTAGTAAGTGTGCCTGGCCCTTTCTGGAAGCTGTCCTCAACACTGCCTGTTTTCACATGTCTGCTGTGCTCCTTGCTATAAGCAGCCTCACCCTAAAGTTTCATTTTAGTTTCATCTTAATCTGCACTTCTGCAACTGCTATCGGATGTATTATCTGGGCATTTATTACATATACAGCATAAAAGGAGCTGTTAATTTTAATGTGCCACTAAGCTACTTAGCTCAGACATGTCCAATGTATTTACCAGTACTTATGACTCAGTGATTCTTAAATTCCCTCCCATATTTGAGATTCAAGAAATCTCATTCAAATTTAAGAAATGTGAATTCGAGAGGATACTTAAGTAATTCTTAGGTTGATCCATTTGAAAAATTTTTTTAATGTACATTTCCTCAGATTTGGTAGGTCTTGGGACCTTCCTCCACTAGTGCAGTCTTCCCAAGAAACTCACAAAATTAATGTAGAGATTTATAAGCAAAATTTTAAAATGTAGCTTGAAAACGTCAGCTCAATGTGGGGGTGGGAGGTCAGTGGAATCCTAAAGTTGGTTAAAACAGCTATCCCATAAGAGCTGATCCTGAAACTTCCTTAATTTAAATGTCTATGTATTTGGGTGTTTTAGACAAGAGTTGTTCAGCTTAAATCCTGAAAAGGACTGAAGGACCCTTCCATGATTGACAGAAACTCTGATGTATATCTTGTTCTATCTGCTGACGTTACTGCCTTCCAACTTGAGATGTTTGAAAAAAGCAAAATATAATATAAATTGTAAGAGAGTTTCTGAGAGCAGATTCCTTTCTTTTACTCCCATGTTTCTCTAATCATCCCACCTAAGTCAGAACAGGCTTTCCATTTTTCTTCCAGTCCTACATTCCACTGCCTGTTTAGCCAAAGCACATGTGAGTCAGCGCTGCTGTCATCAGGAGAGTATATGAGCAGGCAGAAGAGCCTGAAGGAGGACATATGGCCCCAGGCCACACTCCTCAGCCTCATGGGGGGGAGGAAGGGCAGGGTCCACTTTTCCTCCTCACCCGGCGCTAGTTCTCTGAGTGATCACCTGTCAGTGACCGCTGACCTTCTGTCCAAAATGAACTCCAGCAACATAAACCAGAGAAGGAAATGCTGTTTTTCTAGCCTTTCCCATTTCCTTCCTGAAAGAGATTTAGACTTCATTTTCTGACACCTCTTATCCTTTCACACAAAAGAAAGAGACTGTTCTTTTTAGCCTTGTATTGCCAACAAATAAGAAAACTATGCTGTTGCTTTTGAGTTTAAATAGTCTTATTGCTAAGACTTGTAATTTAAAAAAAGAATTCCACCCAGCTGGTGTGGCTCAGTGGTTGAGCATCGACCTATGAACCAGGAAGTCATGGCTGATTCCCGGTCAGGGCACATGCCTGGGTTGCGGGCTCGATCTCCAGTGGCGGGGCATGTAAGAGGCAGCCAATCAATGATTATCTCTCATCACTGATGTTTCTATCTCTCTATCTCTCTCCCTTCTTCTCTGAAATCAATTTAAAATATATATATATTTTTAAAAAATGGATTCCCATTCCCAAAAGATAATGTTTTCTGGAGATTTTAATTTCAAGACATGGAAGTTTCCAGATGCCCATGAATGCATATTCCTCTGAAGGAGCCAATACTTCGGTCCCCACAAGGAGCACCCTCTCCCCCTGCCCTCCTCAGGTAGGCAGAGGGGCGCTGTGCTGCTCCCGCACCCTCTGTAGCAGCAAACAAGGAGAAACCACAGTCCATCGTCTTCCGGCTAAGGAAACCCCTTCAGATATTTTCTTCTGGAAGTCTAGAATTTAGACTTATGCTATGGATTGGGCAACATTAGAATGTTTGAAAGAATATAGTAAATTTTCAAAACTCTCGCACTTTTGTGCCCTACTTTTCTACAAGAAAAATAGATTGCTCAGAATTTCACAATAAGAATTTAAGTCTGGGTCCTATGCACCCAATTCATCAAAAGTGGGGCTGATTTGGGGCCTGGTGGGGGTAGAGGCATCAATATCTTTCTAAATATCTTTAAAGCCTTCAAAATTTGTATCTCTAGCTCTTACCTCTCACCTAGATTTAGAATGATAGATTTAGGGACTAATTTTGTGGTTTTCTAGGTTCTCCCCATGTTTTTCATGCATAGTTCTCATAAATCCTAAAAATCCCTTTAGGCATGTGTCCCTCAGGGGCCCAGCAGAATGTAGAAGGCACACCAAAATTGGGTAATTTGAGGAGCTCTTACTTACAATGGAATGGGCAGGTTTAGGAAAAATGGCGAAGAGCCATACTGTGCCCCATGGTTAGCAGGAGAGCCACCCAGGCCTGAGGGGCAGGGAGCTAACTCAACAGAAGGAGCTATTTTGTGGGGTCCTTCTGATGTAGCTGTGGCCTTTAGTAGGACTGTGCAGCCAATTGACAGCCCGGCAGGGAGGCAACCAGGGGAACACACAACCCAAACTCACTGTCCTCGACCTTCAGATCTCCTGCTGGTGTCACCCACCGGCTGAACCCATTGGCGCCTGGATGCAGTTCTTACGGGTCAGCCTCATGGAGCGCAGAGCAGGGTGAAGGGTGGAGGGCAGACCTGGGAGGGGAAGTGGAAGACACAGCACATGCTTATCGTCCAGGCCTCAGTCTGTCCCAGGTTCAGATCTTTTCTCAAAAGCCTGAACTGGAAATGAATTATGTTGTTTAATATCAGTATTTATCAAAGTAAATGTTTATAGTTTGTGATCTCAGAAGATTTTTTTAGTAAAGCATGTCCAGACTTGTAGATATGCTGCTTATTAAAATTACTGAAGTTTCCCAGGCCTTCTTTCACACACTCTCACATGTTATGACGTGCATTTTTAAAGATCTTTTTATTGTGGTAAATATATATAACATAGAATTTACCATTTTCCCATTTTAAGGGCACATTTCTGTGGCATTCAGTACACTCACATTGTTGTGCAACTATCACCACCATCCATCTTTTTTTCTTTTTTAATATATCGTTATTGATTTCAGAGAGGAAAGGAGAAGGGAGAGAGAGATAGAAACATCAATAATGAGAGAGAATCATTGATTGGCTGCCTCTTGTATGTCCCCCACTAGGGATCAAGCCCGAAACCCAGGCATGTGCCCCTGACCAGAATCGAACCCAGGACCCTTCAGTCCGCAGGTTGACGCTCTATCCACTGAGCCAAACCAGCTAGGGCACCACCATCCATCTTAAGAACTTTTTCATCTTCTCAAACTGAAACCCATTCCCCCCTCCCACATCCTCTGGTAACCACCATTCTACTTTTTGTTTCTCTGAGCTTGACTACTCTTGATATCTCATGTTAGTGAAGATATACAGTATTTGTCTTTTTTGTGACTTAGCTTAATGTCCTCAAAGTTCATTAATATTGTAGCATGTATCAGATTGTCCTTCCTTTTAAACGCTGAATAATATTCCATTGTAGACACACACCACATTTTGTGTATAATATTCCATTGTCTGTATGCACCACATCTTGTTTATCCATTCATCTGTCAAAGGTTGCATGACCCACGTTTTTAAATGTGATTTTATTTCTGCATATGAATGCATTCACTCTCACGGTTTTACCTTTTACATGTCCAGCCTGATGTTTCACAAATCTGCAGGATGATGTAAGAGCACAGCTGCAGGAGCTGAGACATGAAAGGTGAGGGGCCAGAGCAGGCGAGGTGGGCATCATTTGGAGGAAGTGGAGAGTGGGGAGCATTTAAATGTGTGGAAAGAGGAGAACCCACCATGGATAAAAGAAACAGCATGAAAACAAAGGAACAAGTTCTGGACAGAAAGAGCTGTATGGGAGCGGAGAGTATTTTGCTTGGATCGGCCTGAACCAAGAGGACTACTTATGAATAAGTGGGGTGAGATAGTTAAACATTTTTAAAGTTTTACCTAAAAAAAACTATACTGTGCCAGACAAGTTTAGAAAAGCTGGATTAAAAAAGATTCTTGGCACGATTATCTCAGTCTTTCATATACTGGCATGTTTTCTGTCCCTCCAAGACAATATGCTTGATAGCCTTCCTCAAGTCAGTCTCGCTCTCTGTCTCTCTCAATTAAGCCTGAGAATCTCTAAAGTTAGAGGACAATGGTCAGGTCATCTGCAGGGTTTTATTTTTTCTTGCAGATTTGAGGTTGATACTTTGGGATAGGAGTCCAGTTGCTTGGGACAAAAGAGAAGTCTCTAAATGCTCTTGTCAGCCACCAACAGGATTAGAGAATAAATATTTAAAGAATTCTGGGCTAAATGTCATCAGTTGATTAGCCTATCCCGTAGAACCATATTTTTAGCTTGCATGGGAATTTGATTGCATTTGGCTTGATAAACATTGTTGAATATGTGAAAATAGGAAGACCTTGTAAATTCCTAAGCAACCGATAAAAATCGACAGTTTAAAAGATTAACCGGTTCACTGACAGATTAGTGGGGAGAAAAGAATTATGTCCTTGGCCAAGAAGAGAGGAAAATGGTACTTCCAAAAAACAAAACAAAAACCTCTATAAACAAATAATAAGCTCCAGTTAAGATAAATATGTTGACGTACTGGGAGAAATATCTGTGGTTTATTTTTAAATGCATCAGAAATAAAATAAAAAATACTTTAAATGCATCAAAAATAGCATGGGTTGATAAATGGATAAAGAGATAGATGATAAGTGATCAAGGAGCGCAGTAAGATATTGGTAGAATCTAAGAGGTGGGTGTAAATTTTTTTTTAACTTCATTATTTGAAACTTTTCATAATAAAATGTCAGAGAACCAAAGAGGAAAATGGAAGTCTAAAAGATTTTGAAGGAGGAATCATTGAGATTGGGAGAAATATCTGTGGTTTAACCGGTTTGGCTCAGTGGATAGAGCGTCGGCCTGGGGACTCAAGGGTCCTGGGTTCGATTCCGGTCAAGGGCATGTGCCTTGGTTGCGGGCACGTCCCCAGTGGGGGGCGTGCAGGAGGCAGCTGATCAATGTTTCTCTCTCATTGATGTTTCTGGCTCTCTGTCCCTCTCCCTTCCTCTCTGTAAAAAATCAATGAAATATATTTTAAAAAAAAAAAAAAAAAAAAAAAAAAAAAAAAAAAAAGAGAAGCAGTGTTTATAGTAAGAAGAACATGGGCATTGGAATCAAGCAGGCCTGAGGTCTGGATCTGGCTTCGCTATTCTCTAGAGCAGCGGTTCTCAACCTGTGGGTCGCGACCCCTTTGGGGGGGCGTCAAACGACCCTTTCACAGGGGTCACCTAAAACCATAGGAAAACACATATATAATTACATAGTGTTTTTGTGATGAATCACTATGCTTTAATTATGTTCAATTTGTAACAATGAAAATACATCCTGCATATCAGATATTTACATTACGATTCATAACAGTAGCAACATTACAGTTATGAAGTAGCAACGAAAATCATTTTATGGTTGGGGGTCACCACAACATGAGGAACTGTATTAAAGGGTCGCGGCATGAGGAAGGTTGAGAACCTATGCTCTAGAGTGTTAAGTATGTTGCTTAGTGGTGGCACTGGGATTTGAACCCATGCAGCCTGGCTCTAGTGCTTTGGTCTCTCTCTACTTGCAGTGCTGCAGTCTCCTTGTCCGTGTCTGGCATGTGATAAATTCTCAAATGATAGCCGTCGCCATTCATTAGTGTACCGTCTGTGGGCTGCAGAGGGTGAATGAAGTCTAAGATTTTAATGTTTGATCTGGAAGATTTAGATGCAAACTGGAAGAGAAGAGACGGTTTAGTGTTAGATAAGTGGAAGTAGAGATTTTTATATAAACAGTCTCATGTATTCTCCTAAAGTTCAGTAAATCATTTGCTCACCAAATATTTGAGTGTTGTATGTGCTGAGTACTGCTCTAGACCAGTGAACAAAACCGACAAAAATCTCTTTCCTTATAGAGACTTACATGCAACAGGGGCCTGGAGAATTAAGGATTTGTATATCCCCAATGCGGAATGAGTGCAGCAGTGGGACTGCAGGCATTCACAGCAGGAGAAGGTGTTTCCCCAGCAGACTTCAGATGCCCCTGACGCCACGCCACGAAGGCAGTCATTTCCTCTGCTTTCTCTCAAGCCCATCTGTGCTCTGATTTCCTCTGCAGTTCTTTTGCCTTCCATCTGGAATTGGTGGAACAACTTATATAAGCTATTTATGATTGTTTGAAAACTATATGTTCAGGCTTCTAAAATGGGCCAGATAGGAACAGTGATGGTTGCTTTTCATAGCGTATTCTATGAGCAGAGAAGACAGAGAAAATTCATGAAACTCCACATAAAACAGAGGACACTGAGGTCTCCTTTCCTGTCTCATGCATGAATCCTGTAATTTAGCCAGGCTCTGACTTCAGCGCCCTTCCAGGGCGTGTATCCCTCGGCAATTATGCACTCATTCCAATAGGGTCGGAGGTCAGTCAGTAAAAGTATTTATTGAGCCAGACCCTCCTCCTCTGCTTCTGAGTCATTTTCGGGTAGAGCAAAGACGTTCTCAGGGAGAAGCTTAACTCTTTCAGATGACAAAGGTCACCCCTCAGTGTGATGGGTAGCTCTCTCAGTCATCCTCAGGGCTTACACTTATTCTTTACTTGGTATTATAGATAACGAGGTATGTATCTAGTCAGATAGTGAGATGGAATTTGTAGTGAGAAAATGTAGCAGAAGGAAAATAATATCCACCTTGTCCCAATTTTGGGGAGTTGTTTTAATAACGTATAGATGGCTAAGAGGCTTGCAAAATACTATGTTTGTTTTAGAAAAAAAACATATTTATGACACACCCTTCTGTGGAAATCTGACATCTGGCAGCTTTAGCTCCTTGGAAGACGGCCAGAAACTAAGCACAGGGCCTCAGAGCACATAAAAAATAACTGTTGAAAAACCCGAGCGGGAACACATGTATTTTACCATCACAGGAGAGTTTGTTAGCCTCTCATTTTGAGCTTGTTTACTTTTTATTTATCTGGGAACTTTGAACAATTTTGGCGGTGATGTGTGGTCCCCCTGCCCGGGAGATTATAAACAACCATCTAGGAAGAGGTTGGGAAAGTTGACAGAGAAGATAAACTGATAGCAGAGGGAAGGCTGACATCAAAAGAGAAAGACTTAGAAGCTATACAGCACTGGTATGATGTGTTACAACACAGTATAGTAATGTATGGTCTTCATAATGCACTTGTATCCATCAGCCAAAGAATTAAGCCATGTGCAGTGTCTTTTGAAGACGGCCGAGAGATACATCGTGTGTCCTTTTAAACATGGTCCAAGTTTTGACATGTTGAAATGGTAAATTCTGTAGCGTTTATAAACTTGAAACAGCACACTGTCTAGTGATGCCATATCAGTGACACAGATTTGAGCTTGTAGCTGGTTATGGCAATGATGTGTAGTAATCATTGCTAACATTTACAGAGTGTCTACTGTACCAGCCCTGTCCTAGACTTTGGAGACAGGCAGATCTGGGTTCCCAATTCCATCTCTGACTTACTGTGTGACTTTGGACAAATGACATCACCTCTTTGAGCCTGTGTCCTCACATGTGAAGTTGGGGACCAATAATATATGACACCGTATCCATGCAAGGAAGCTACGCAAGGTTGGGACATAGGTGTCTTTGAACCAAAAACACATTCTTGAGCTGGTGTAGTGTACAAAGTTTTGTCTGGAGGTGCCATCTACATAGCCCGTCTTTGTTCTTTTTTACGAATTTTCACTTTTTCAGTATGTTTGAAACCTCAGTCACTGTCTGCTGCTATTTACTCTACGTTATTTATTTATTTATTTATTTATTCATTCATTCATTCATTCATTCATTCATTTATTTATTTATTTTGCAGACACATTCTCAGTAGGTAGGAGTCGAATGCCTTTGGTCTGAATTCTGGCCCTGCTGCTGTGAACTAACTCTGGGAGCTTGGACAAATTAGTTTTCTAACTTGCCGAGCCTCAGTATCCTAATTTTAAGATGGTTATGGGAAGTCAATGAAATGCCACATGTAAAATCCCCATGTAAATAACGCATTTTAAAAAAATACTCTGTAGCTTCGTACTTGAAAAATGTTAATTTCCTTATTGCCCTCTGCAGGCATATTGAAAAGTCTGTATTTCCCAACTTGTATCTTTTCTATCACAGGTATAGGTCACATTTTTTCCCCCCAGTTCCAGAATGACTTTGAGAATCAAATGAAAAATGTCCAAGGGAAATGTATGAGGAAATAATTATTTTATAAGAAATAAATGAGACTACTTTGATAATTTTAAGTATAAACTTTTTATTTGCTTAGCTTTGACTTTATTATAGGTATCTTTATATCTTAAGCTATATCATTCTCAAGATATCTATCTATATTACAGTGTCTTAAATACTTATGCTTTCCCATTTCTTTTGACCTTTCTGTCCAGGTGATAAACATGGAGGCTGGATCAGTGGTTCGAGCCATCTTTGACTTCTGCCCGAGTGTGTCAGAAGAACTGCCCCTCTTTGTGGGGGATGTTATTGAGGTGTTGGCAGTGGTGGATGAATTTTGGCTTCTAGGAAAGAAAGAGGATGTTACAGGTAAGAGGCACCTACCTCCCGTTTTCCATGCATCTGGTTTCCTTTCTTTTGTTTTTTTACAATATAAGTTACCACTAATTTCTTTCATTAATTAGCTTAGGGAAGGATGGCAGTCTCCCCCCCCCCCCCCCCCCACACACACACTATGCGTCTATGTTAAATGCCATCCTAACTTACATATGTTTATGTAACTCTGGGTTGGAGTATGTTATTCAGTCCTTAGAGCAGACCCTGTTGACACTTAGCCCACATTTGCTAGATGATCGGTTATTTCCCAGTAGAAATGATATCTCAGCTGAGACAAAATGAGGAGTAGGAGTTAGCAAGGCAAAGAGGATAGGCAGAGAGAATTGCTTGTTCAAAGGCCCTGGAAGGAGAGAGAACACGGAGGGACTGAGAAAAGTTGAGTATGGCATGAAGTGTGAATGGTGGAGGAGGGGGATAGTGCTTGGGAGATGAGCAGAAGTTAGATCATGGAGGACAGACTATGCCATGGTAAGGAGTCACAGAAATGAGAAACCATTCATGTGCTTTAAGGTATTCATCAGATTTTTAGAAAGCTCTCAGCTGCCAATTGAAAGATGGTAGGAAGGGGCAAAACCAAAGGCAGGGAGGCGGGATGGGGGGTTGGTGCAGTAAGCTAGGCGAGAGATGCTGATGGCTTGGCCCAGCGTGGGGGGTCTGGGGGTAAGTGGACAGGTACCAGAGACATTTAGAAGGTGGAATCAATTAAACCTTCTGATGCTTTCCAACTGACAGGCTCTGTCTCTCGTCTACCTCTACCTATTAAAACCTACCCATCTTTAGACTCAAATGCTATCTTTTTCATAAAATTTTTCATATTCTTCCTGACCCATTCTCTCCCTTCTCTGAAATCACATAGTAATTTGTGTACCTGTATCGTGACATTGGATTTTAGAATTGAATTTTTGTTTATGTCTGAACTAGATCTTGTCTGAATTAGATTTTCAGATCTCTGATGGCCGAGACTGTCTTACTCCTCCTCCCCTCTGCAGTGCTCCTGCCATAAGTGACATCCAGTAAATATTCATTGGCTGGAATTGCATTTTCTCACTGAGTTTTTAATTGGTAATGGGCTCAGAAAAACAATTTTTGTCCTGGTACATAGGCATAAAATTTTTTTTCAAAATGTTTGCTTTTATTTTCAGGACAGTTCCCCAGTAGTTTTGTGGAAATTGTGACCATTCCCAGCCTAAAAGAAGGAGAGAGGCTGTTTGTCTGTATCTGTGAATTCACATCCCAAGAACCGAACAGTCTTCCCCTCTATCGAGGTAAGTTGATCAAGAGTAGACTGTTTAAAATTAGATCAGTGGAGCCCTGGCTGGTTTGGCTCAGTGGATAGAGCATCAGCCTGCAGACTGAGGGGTCCCTGGTTCAATTCCGGCCAAAGGCACATGCCCGGGTTGCGGGCCCGATCCCCAGTGGGGGGCGTGCAGGAGGCAGCTGATCAATGGTTCTCTCTCATCATTGATGTTTCTGTCTCTCTTTCCCTCTCCCTTCCTCTCTGAAATCAATAAAGAAATATATTTTTTTAAAAATTAGATCAGTAGAGTTGGTCTACTTTGACAAATAGATCTTTTTTGGACTTTTTACAAGTGGCTAACTTCTGGAAGGTCTTCAGCAATACTAAGACAGTGCTGATAATGCCAGTGCCTTCTGTTTTAGCAGCATTTTATAATTTCCACAGTATTTTCTCACAACTTCATTCTCATTTGATCCTCAACACAGACCTGGGAGGTTGCAAAATGGGTATTATTAACTGCATTTAATAATGATGAAAATGAGATTCAAACAGTGTTACCTGCAGATGAGAAGTTTTGGCCTCAGAATGTGAAGTCCTTTCAGTGGATTACAAGTCCAGCATTGTTTTTCCACTGCCCCATGCTATGGCCACACTTGACTACATATATCTTCTTTCTCATAGAAACCGATATGGTTTTGCTAACCACATTATTATTTATTAATGCATAATAGTAGGGCAGCAGACGTGGTATGGAAATTAAGAGGCAGATGTAAAATAGGCCCGTTTACTACTGTACATTGGGTAACGTTATTAAAGTTCTCATCAGAACCAGTTTAAAATGGATAGTCAGAGCCAGGTCTCAGATGATATTCCGAGTGTTCCCCACTTTTGTACTCTAATACAGCGGTCGCCTACCTTTCGGACCTCACAGACCACAGTGGTCCGGGGACCCCTGCTCTAATAGACCTGTGACCTTCTAAAGATGGACTGTTAACTGTTTCAACAAGTATACTTGATGTAGCCCGTGCATTTCTGCATAAGCACAGACACGTATATCAATGCAATTCTGTGATGATTCAGAAAACGGTCTCAAAATGGTAAAATTTATTTGGAGTTATATTTAAACTCAGCAACAAGTCTGTCTCTTAGAAGGATCTATGCAGCCAGGGCCACTGACTCTACCAAAAAATAAAGAGAGGGAGGAAAAAAGAGAGCCCCCTGCCCCCCCCCCCCACACATACAAAGGTATGTTATTAATATTGTTACTTGCTCTTTGGAGTATGGCTTAAATTTTTAAACCCTGTGTAAGAGAGAGAGAGAGAGAGAGAGAGAGAGAGAGAGAGAGAGAGAGAGGGAGAGAGAGAAAAGGTAGGGAGAGGGAGAAACCTCACAAACCTCCTTAACCCTTGGTCAGTAAGAAGAAAGGAATATTGCATTTCGATCTTAATCTCAAAACCAAATTTGAAAATTTCTTACACTTCACTTTACACTGAGACTCTGCCTGCGTTCTGTGTACTTCCTTGCTAAGCAGTGTTGGGAAGGCAGGCAGAATAGATCAAGGTGTGATGGCAGGGAACCTTATTTGTCCCTACTCACCTCCCACTGGAGGGCGGTGACCCATGTCAGGCCAGTCAGAGGGTGTGGAGACAGGGCCACCTTCATGCCCCCTGACTGGGGATCGGGAGGAAACCCCCAACCCAGGTATGTGCCCTTGACTGGGAATCAAAACCAAGACTCTGGTGCAGAGTCCAATGTTCTAACCGCTTGTAGTTATCAGGACCAGGGCAAAGATGAGCTATTTTTATTATTCTTTTTTTTAAAAATATTTTTTTTGGTTTCATAGAGGAACAGAAAGATAGAAACATTAATGATGAGAGAGAATCATTGATCAGGTGCCTCCTCCACATCTCTTACTGGGGTTCGAGCCCAAAACCCGCGGGCATGTGCCATGACAGGGAATTGAACCAGGACTTCCTGGTTCATAGGTCGATGCTCAGCCACTGAGCCACAATGGCTGGGCTATGTTTATTATTCTTAACCTGGGATTCCTAGAGTTCACAGAGGTGCTTTGGGGGACCTTGTTTCCCAATAATTAGCTGGAGTTTTGTGTGTATGTACATTTTTCCGGGGAGATTCTAACTAGAACCCCAGAGATTCTTCCAGCAGATGTCACCCTTTCTCCTTTTCCCAAAGCTATCTTATTGTTTTGGACTGTTCCTTGTATTCGGAGTTATATTTAAACTCAGCAACAAGTCTATCTCTTAGAAGGATCAATGCAGCCAGGGCCACTGACTATACCAAAAAATAAAGAGAGGGAGGAAAAAAAGAAAGCCCCCTGCCCCCCCCTGCCCCCCCCCCCCCACACACACACATACAAATGAGAGTATTACAAAGAAAAGAAGAAAAAAATTAGTGGGAGGTGAATATCACTAATCATTGCCCTACATAACACAATGCTTATTCCTTGCCTATACAGTGGGGCCTTGATTTACGAGTTTAATTCGTTCCGTGACAGAGCTCGTAACTCAAATTACTCATATGTCAAATCAAAAAGTGAATGAGTGAGACACGTGATGCTGGGCTGATGTTGTGGCGTTCACTGTGACGTTCGCTGCGCCAACTAGCGGTGGGGTATCTGAAGCTGGCTCGTAACCCGAATTTTAGCTCGCAACTCAAAGCAAAAAATTGGCCGAGAGATGGCTCGTATCTCGAAAAACTCATTAGTCGGGACACTCGTAAGTCAAGGCCCCACTGTAACTTTGTTTCTAGGCCACTTCCTCATCCCTCAAAAAGGACCAATAAAAAATAAACTGAACAACTTATTTACAAATATTTATCAGTCGGATCTGTGATGTGAGATATCAGGATTAAGGTTCTGATATCGCTCATATGTAAACCTAAGTAAAATATATGGTTAATCTGCATAAAGCACATAGTGCCCTGGGCATTAGGATTCAATGAGGTATCCAATACTCAGAGTCAGATTACTTGTATTCAGATTCTAAGAAGACTTGCATTCATTCTTATTTATTCCTGATGCAGTTCTTGTTTAAATAAAACAATCCAACCAGAAGAAACAAGCAGTGTGGCCTCTAGGATTAATTGTGCATGAGTGAAAGGCTCAGGCTAAGGGTCACCACACTTCTTATTTTTCTGTTCTCGACATCTGGCCACTGTACTCCAGGAGTTCCTCATGTTTGTCTAGAAATGACCACTAGGTAGCCTGCATTCCTAAGGGGTCACCTAGGATGCCAGGGGAATAGCTGCATGGGTCTTTCAGATGAAAATGAGAGACTCATGCTAAAATTTAGCAAACAGGATTATAAAATAAGGGTGTTGAACAATGATCTCTAAAGTGCTTTTCAGGAAGCTAAATGGTGATTTTTTTAAAAATCACCTTTATTATACAGAAATAACCAACAGAATGACAGTCTATCTATATATATAAAGCCTAAGTGACTGTTAGGACTGGTCAACCGAACGACCAGTTGACTGGTCACTATGATGCACACTGACCACCAGGGGGCAGATGCTCAATACAGGAGCTGTCCCTGGTGGTCCGTGTGCTCCCATAGCCAACCTCCCTCGGTCCCTCCCCCCATGGCCGGCTGGCCAACCTCCCAAGGTCCCTCCCCCCGGCTGGCTGGCCCTGATCGCTGGCCAGGCCAAGGGACCCCACCTGTGCACAAATTTGTGCACCAAGCCTCTAGTCAGGTAATAAAGCTTAGTAAGATCGTCACCCAGCTGAAAATAGGAAAACAAGGCTTATTATAAGAGTTTCATGGAGATCTGGCAAAACAAGGAAAATATTATAATTCTACAGCTTTAAGAAGTCCAGTTCATTTCAAAGCCAGTAGAGTAGGAGGTATGGCATGCTTTTATTCTTATTCACCAGCAGGCCTATTCACCAAAAGGCCTATTGTGTCTGAACAGTAGCTGTGTCCAGCGAGCTCCCTTGTGGCCCTGATGGAATGGCCTTAGAGCTGGTGAGGGGAAATCGCTTGTAGTTATCAGGACCGTAAGCTCTGACCAGTGGGCATTGAATCATAAATTAAAGGAATATAGAAATATAGGACCAAGACCTTATTTTTCAGGAATACAGTATCAAATCAGTGAAAATGTATGGGGTGCCTACCACTAAGTACAAAATTTTACATTAGAGGCTGTATAGTATATAAAAATCTAAGTGTCAAAATTAGTAATATGGATCATTTACTATGATCATTTACATAAGATGAACGTGGTCTTCTAGGTTCTTTAGAGTGGCATGCTAAGGTTTCAGATGAAGAGGCTTATATAGGAGACAATGAGAGTCCCATCGTGTGAAATAGGGTCTCATAGGTGACATATATTGGATAGCTGGGGGTGGGAGCAGGGGATATTATGAGTGGATAGGAATGCCAAGTTACATTGAGGTGAAACATGTAACTTAGTAACTAAACCTCTTTAGAGAGTATCCAGAGCAAACTTATTTTTTATATATTTCAGGTAGTAAGAATAGGATTATTAGAGAAGAAGCCTTTGACAGAAGGAAGAAGCCTTCATGCTTCAGGGTAAATGTTTGAGCAGGGAAAGGATATGATAAAATTGATATAGTTATAATCTTGGGCATGAATCACTTGGTAGACTGGAAGAGACAGTGTCTAAGGGCAAGATTTATAAGAGTGAGATAACGTGAGTTGGACGAAGGTGGAAGGAAAGAGCAAGTAATGAATGGAATAAATATTCTAAAGGAAGAAATTAGAGGAGAAAGGAAGTTAGCAGAATGGAGCTTGTTTTGGAGGGAAGATATAGTTCATTTATTTGATAGTTAGAATTGAAGAATCACTAGCAAATGGACAACAAGAGCTTTGCTTACATGGGTCTATTTATATTTTACCATATTAGCTATAAAAACTGAGAAATTTTAAAATGTTTATTCATTTTTTAAAAGCCATGACATACTAATATAAATAGTATATTTTTAGCAAAAATAACTAGTTTTCTAAGCAATGAACATTTAATTCTTACAATGTTGTTTTATATTTTTGCAGATCTCTTTAATGTTTAATTTAATAAAAGAAAGCTGGATTCTCAGATTTGTATCTGTTTTCATGTTGTTTTGAGTGAAGTATATGAAGACAATATGATAGTTTTGACCTTCTCAGACCCTCTGAAAGGAACTTGGGGACCCCCTTGCCCCAGATCCCATGGACCACACTTTGAAAATCACTGTTTTACAGGAATTTTCAGTATATTGTCATTAAATTGTCAAAATTCACTAAGTTGTCAAAAGTGTTCTTTGCTTAAAACTCTAGGTGTATATTTTCTTGAATTTGGTAAATGTTGAAAATGATGGTTTACAGTATTAGTTATAGTAATGCTAGAGGCCCGGTGCACAACATTCATGCACTGTGGTGTGAGGTCCCCCTCAGCCCGGCCTGCACCCTCTCGCAGGGACCCCTCGGGGGATGTCGCCTACTGGCTTAGGCCCGATTTCCCCTGGGGATCGGGCCTAAGCCGACAGTCAGATATCCCTCTTGCAGTTCGGGGCTCTCGCAGTCTGAAGCTTTTGCAGTCCGGGACCCCTCGCTCCTTACCACCAGCCTACAGTGGAGGCAGAAAAGGCTCCCGCCACTGCCTCTGCGCTTGCCAGCCATGAGTCCAGCTTCTGGCTGATCGGTGCTCCCCCTGTAGGAGCACACTGACCACCAGGGGGCAGCTCCTGTGGTGAGCGTCTGCCCCCTGGTGGTCAGTGAGTGTCATAGCGACTGGTAGGTCTGCCGTTTGGTCAATTTGCATATTAGGGTTTTATTATATAGGATTCTTCTGGGGTGATGACTGGGGCCATTATCTTTGCTTCTCTTTTTTAGGTGACCTCGTAATTCTCGATGGCGCTCCCACTGCCGGCTGGCTGCAAGGCCGAAGCTGCTGGGGTGCCCGGGGCTTCTTCCCGTCCTCGTGTGTCCGGGAGCTCTGCCTGTCCTCACAAAGCCGGCAGTGGCACTCGCAGAGCGCCCTGCTGCAGATTCCCGACTATTCAATGGGACAGGCCCGGGCGCTAATGGGGCTCTCTGCCCAGCTGGATGAGGAGCTGGACTTCAGAGAAGGGGATGTGATTACCATTATCGGAGTTCCTGAACCAGGCTGGTTTGAAGGGGAACTAGAGGGTCGAAGAGGCATTTTCCCCGAAGGTTTTGTAGAACTTTTGGGGCCCCTGAGGACTGTGGATGAGTCGGTGAGGTCTGGAAATCATGATGACTGCATGGAAAATGGTGAAGTAGACACCCCTACAGGAGAAGAGGAGAGAGGGCCGGACGAGGAGGACGAGCAGCCAGGGACCTACGGAATCGCCCTCTACAGGTTCCAAGCCCTGGAGCCGAATGAGTTGGATTTTGAGGTGGGCGATAAGATCCGAATTCTGGGGACCCTGGAAGATGGCTGGCTGGAAGGATCACTGAAGGGCAGGACAGGCATCTTTCCTTACCGGTTTGTAAATTTATGTCCTAAAACAAAGGTGGAGGAAACTGTGGCCCTGCCACAGGAAAGCAGCCTTAGCAGGGTCCCTGAAACGTCTTTGGATTGCTCAGAGAACTCCTTAGAACTGGGAGAAAAAGGACATGAATCTCATGAGTATGAAGAAGAGAAGTCCAACTGTATTATTTCTGAAACATCTGCTTCTCCCCCAGATCATCTGACCTCTGAATATGAAGTAAACACAATCTCTCATTGGGATGAGGGCACCTCCAGGGGGCTGCCGAGAAGCCCAGGCACCGGGCATGGACAGCCTCTTGCCAAAGACTCTGCCACAAAGGATTCCTCAGAGGTCGTCAATGGTGTTTCCTCCCAACCTCATGTACCTTTCCACCCCCAACTGCAGAAAAACCAGTATTATTCTAGAGCAGGAGGGAGCCAGCCGAGCTCAGGGCAGTTCTCTGACCCCTTTCCTCTAGAAGCAAGGACTAGAGACTATTCCAGCCTCCCTTCCAGGAAAACATCCTCCCAGCCGAAAACCCTTACGCAGCGAGCGTCTCCTTTTCCTGAAAGCTCTTCTCTTTCAGCCTCTAGGGTGGTCAGGCCTAGCCAGTTGAGCCCTCAACTCCAGGGCAAGGCAAGGTGTTCCAAAAAGTACCACACACTCAAAGAAAAAAATGCTGCCCACTTTTGTTCAGAGATGAAGCCTGGTCTGCAAGACATGGCGCCCGCTGTGGAAGCATTGGCCCTTCCACAGGGAGACGGCAACGTTGACCTGGATTCGAAGTTGACACAACAGCTGATAGAGTTTGAGAAGAGCTTGTCAGGCACTGAACCGGATAAAGTTTTGCGCCACTTTTCAATCATGGACTTCAGCTCCGAGAAGGATATTGTCCGAGGTTCCTCAAAGCTAATCACCCAGCAGGAGCTGCCTGGGAGGAGAAAGGCCCTAAGGCCACCGCCACCCCGTCCAGCACCCACTTCTCCCCATTTGCTGGTGGACCAGAACCTGAAACCCGAGCCACCCTTGGCAGTGCGGCCCTCTCGCCCAGCTCCCCTGCCTCCCTCAGCGCAGCAGAAAACGAATGCGGTACCCCCCAAACTCCTAACCTGTAACCGTCCTACCTGTGAGACCCTAGAGAAGGAGGCCCCTGAGAATATCGAAAAGCCTTTGGACCAAACTTCCCAGTGTCCATTAGTATTGGTGAGAATTCAGGAAATGGAACAGGACTTGGATATGTATAGCAGGGCTCACGAAGAGCTACACTTAATGCTGGAGAAGCAAGAGGAATCCTTAAGGGCAGAGACCCTGGAGAATCTAGCATTCTACGAGAGCAACATTGAAAATTTGAATATGGAACTCCAGCAACTTAGAGGTAAGTGATGAGGAAATAATATATACTTATTTCTTGACATAAGTCCAAGTAGTAGCCTACCCATATTTTTTAGGGATATGTTACCATCTTGGATTGACAAAGAATGATTTGCTTTTTCATTACCTAATTTCTTCTCTCACAATTAGACTGCTCTGTCTTGATGTATCTCAGTGATTCCCAAAGTGGGCTCTACCGCCCCCTGGTGGGCGCTGCACCAATCCAAGGGGGCGGTGATGGCCACAGGTGCATTTGTTTTAACTTTTTTTGTATTACCTTTCTATTCTGAGTTCAAGAAATAGTTTCATAATTTCAAACTTCACCTTTCTAACTTACACCTTTCTTTACTATATTTTACGAAAAAGGTAGAAACATTAATACATATATCTTTCTGTTTAATTGCTATTAAAATTTAAAAAATATTAATTTCCAGGGGGCGCTGAGTAATATTTTTTCTGGAAAGGGGGCGGTAGGCCAAATAAGTTTGGGAACCACTGATGTATCTTATGACCATTGTGGCCTTCTGACTTTGTTTGCAGCTCGGTGACATTTATACCTCCTATACTGCTATGACATCCATAGCAGTCATGTGTATGGGAAGTCCCCAAATATAGCTTTCTTTAACCTGGCCCTTCTAAAGGACTGAAGATGTCTAGGCTAAGACTCATGAGAAAACTGCATCTTGTATTTTTGTGGTCTATAGACTAGATTTCAATAATAATAATAATAATAACAACAACTAACATTTCTTAGCTTGTTAATAAGCATTTGTTACCATTTACTTACACAAAGAATCTTCACAGCCACCCTGAAGGTCCCGGGGATAATTCATGTGGCTACTTTATAGATGGTGAAACTAAAGGTTGTAGAGATTAAGTCACTAGTCCAGGGAGCAAGGATTTGAGCCCATGGTTTTAACTACTCCAGCTCACCGTTTCCCACCTTGCACATTTTTGCACATTCAGAAGTTTAAATGCTGTTCCTTAATTTGGGGGTGACCAGCCTCTGGAGACGTCATTCATATCCACCAGGCTACCAGAAGAAATAATTTACGAAGTAGGAAAAGTTAGAGACTGAGACAACAGCAGTTGTTCTAAGACCCAAGGAGAACCTGACCTCAGGCCACGTCGGCATGTGCCCGAGGGCTCTGCACCTGCATGTCATCAGCATAGTGAATAATAACAGTATTCTGCGGTTCTAGAAATTGCAGGATACTAATAAGAGATAAAGCAGGAGAGTGGTGACCCAGAGAGACTGGGCCAAGATGGCAGACCAAGTACACATACCTACTCCCTCGTCCTTTAGATTTCTGAAAGTGAATGAAAAAACATAATTCAAAATCCCAAGAAGAGTATTATCAGAAGGCTGGAAATCGAGTGATTTTTCTGAAAGGATCCTTGGGTAAGAAGTAAAAAAAAACACACAAAAAACACACACTTCTACATGTCATTAAAATATATAATCTTGTAACAATATTTTGGTTCGTCATAATAATAGACTTCATTTATTTTATATATATTTCTCATCTATATACTGATATAAAAATATCTAAAACTTTAGTACAATCCTAAACTAACACAGGAAAATTATTCACTGTTGATTATTAAGGTCACTAATATTATCATTTAAGAACATGTAAATATGCCATAACCGGTTTGGCTCAGTGGATAGAGCATTGGCCTGCGGATTGAAAGGTCCCAGGTTCGATTCCGGTCAAGGGCATGTACCTTGGTTGCAGGCACATCTCCAGTGGGAGGTGTGCAGGAGGCAGCTGATCGATGTTTCTAGCTCTCTATCTCTCTCCCTTCCTCTCTGTGAAAAATTAATAAAATATTTAAAAAAAAAGAACATGTAAATAAAAAGTTTTTAAAAATACAGGATAATTTATAATTTTAGGAATTGCCAGAAATTCCAATTTCTTGTTCCTGAACCCCAAAGATTACTCTCCTTGCTGAATATATTTTATTTTTTTTAAATATATTTTTATTGATTTCAGAGAGAAAGGGAGAGGGAGAGAGAAATATCAATGATGACAGAGAATCATTGATCGGCTGCCTCCTGCACGCCCCCTACTGGGGATTGAGCCTGCAACCCAGGCATGTGCCCTTCAGTCTGCAGGCTGACGCTCTGTCCACTGAGCCAAACCTACTAGGGCTATCCTTGCAGAATTTAGAAGCTGCTGACCAACAACTGAAAGAAACAAGTGCCAATTCTCTCTCTGGAATGAGGTGCCTTCCTCTCAGGTCTTAAAGTTTCCCAAACACCAGGACTAGCACACAGGAAAAGACAGTCAGACACACAGGGCGTGTAGGCCACACTAATGAGAACCAGGGGGCATCACAAACAGTCCCACTAAGACTTAATATCATACACAGACTACTTATTACCTATGTAAAGAAAAGAAAAGACAAGCTGAGAGGTATCTGCAGCAAACAGGAAACTATAGAACAAGCAACTTCAATTCAATTTCATCCAGTTAAACTAAATTCAATTCATCAAGTATTTAATAAGTCTACTGCCTGCAGTGTGTGGGAAATGACACACTGGCTAATACACAGTATCTGTCTTCTCAGTAGGCTGAACATTTTCATTGAGAGGCACAGTAACACTAAAAATAATACCAACCAGAATTAAGTAAATATTGTACCAAAAGTTCTTTAAATCTTAGGCCTTAAATGTCAAGATTAGAGATTGTACGAGACTGGATTCAGGGAATAAAGCCTGGTGTTTAAACTGATTAATTTCCTCCTCTTTCGAGGGACTAATTTTATAGTTGGATACGCTTTTTATGAAGACAGAAAAAGATGACCTTAAGAGGCTCTGTCAGTGATTGCAAGAAATAAGTAATTGCACCATATTAGCAATTGATATAAAAAAGAAAATCAAGTCAACATTAATACATTGAATGTGGTATTTAGTGGATTCAAATAAAGAAAAGTCTTTCTGATTAAGACTCTACCCACCTACTATAGATCTTTTACAGTATTAATTTTTTAGAATTAAAAAACACATAGTAAGAATACTAACCGAATATTCAATTAGTCCTGAAAAGAAGATCAGTTGAATAAAGGAGAATACCAGTTTCATCACGTAGTCCCAGTCCATTAACCCACATACCCATTGAAAAACCTGCGTGGTATTTTTAAGGATAGAAGACATAACATTTCTGTGAAACACTATTAATTCTCAAAAGTATCGTTATTGAGAAATTCTTGCTGGCTGGAATGTGGGAGGCTTTTTTTCTGCCACCTGTGTATTTAATGCAGGAATAGTTTAGAAGTATATCTCAAAACTGGTAGATGGAGAATCCTAGGGCTTGCTATGGCTTTGGGGATGTAGTGATGTGTCAGAACTGCCAATGTAAGGCCTTATTTTGCTTCTAAAACTTGATATTCTTGGACCGTCGCTTATAAGATTTGTGCAAAATATACTCTGCACATAACCTTGTTAATATTTACCTTATTTGCAAGAATGATTCACTGTTTGCGCGC